TTTTTGTTAGATGAGAACCCAGGTCTCCTAAACCTCAGGCACTGCCACATTACCTGGGGACTGCAAGAGTCTGGGGGCCGTATGGTCAGGAAGGGACATGCTGAAGTCACTTATCAGAAAGGCAGGGAACTATATCTGTTCCAGGAGTAAGGTGAAAAACCAGGACAGGACTATGAGCTTATAAACAGTGGCATTCAGGGGCTGGGGATTTAGCTCAGTGGAAAAAGCACCTGCCTGGCAAATGCAAGGTCATGAGTTCGATTCCTGGTACCAGAAGAAAAACAAAAACAAAAACAAAATAAACAGTGGCATTCAAATGTTATGGCAAAAGTAGAGGCTTTATGGTAACTGGTAAATTAAGGTGAACTTCTATTGCATTTACTGACCAAATATGTAATGATGTGGTGGGTCTGCTCCTTCACCTGAAGCTGATCCAAGAGAAGCATTCTTTCTAGACTCATGGTGGGTGGCTATGGGGTGACAGGTCTCTGGCCCCACCTACATCTTAAGATGCCTACATTCTCCATTTCTCTCTCACTAAGGAGGTATATCTGGCACTTTGTCCTACCCCATAAGATAGGTATCACGAAAGTTACTTTAGCACCTCATAGCAGCGAAACTGTACAGGACTGTCTGTTTAGTCTGCACCACAAAGATCTGATCTCATTGAAAGGTGACTTTAAGCTTAAGTTCCTGCTGTTTCTTCTACAGTCAGAACCTTGACATTACCAAGAACTTCCACATTTGCAAATATCCTTCTAGGTCACTGCTTCTCCCACAAAATGCAATAAATTACAATTGAAAATGTAAGTGGCTCCTTCAAATCCTTAATGACTTTATCAGTAAGGTGCTAACATCTTCCAACATGCTAATTAAAATATGTTCTCTTGAGTCATATCTCTGTGGGGAATCACATGTTTCCCGGGCACATCTTCACATCAAAGGTCAAGACCTGCTCAACTTTTAAGCAAGTTTTGTCTTTTTGCTAATAAGCAATTCTGACACAGGCAAGAGTATTCCTCAAGTGGTTTTAGGAACTGATTGCCCTCGTATCTAGAAAGAAACCTGAGGGGGTATTGCTTCATAGATCAGAGTTGCCCAAATCCAATATGCTGCTCTCTTTGAAACGCCCTTGTTTTGAATAAGCACAGTCAGTTGTACATATCTTCACCACCTTATTGGTGGGTGGCTGCAAGACCACCTTCCACAAGCTCATGTAAGAAGAGCTGAGCAGGGGCACTGAGAGCCCAGTTCTCTCTTGCTTCCTTCCCATTCTTCAGAGGTGGGCTTCAAATTTTGACCTTGCAAAAGTGACATGTGACTACACATTTTTGACTTTCAGGGTTCTCTGAGAATATTAAGTCCGTTGATTCCAGAGTTTCTCTGAACTTATGTTTTTGCTTTAACATTCCAGTGCTAATACATTTCTTCTAAGGATTTCCAGTTAATATCTTCATCTTTGCCCTTACTTAGATTTGCCTGTATGTTCATTTGATCTCACTATATTGAAGTGTGTGTGTGTGTGTGTGTGTGTGTGTGCGCGCGCGCGCAAGTGTGTAGGAATATATTTTCCTTGTGCATTGTCCAAGATACTCCTGCATATTCCAGACCACTTGGTGATTTAGCACACCTAGCAGAGTGCCTGGCAGACAAAGGAGATACAAGATAAATGTCCTTAATGAAGACTGTCTTTTATCCTCGGGGGTATTTTTATTATCCCTTGTTATTAGGGTATGTTTGCCATACGTAATAATTGCATCCATTCTGAGCAGCTGGTACACGTACATATCACATCTCAATCATTTTACTTCCCCCTCCCCTCCTTGCCTTCCCATCTCCCTCCATCCTCAGATTCCCTTCCCATCTCCACAATGTCTACCTCCAAGTCTTTCATGGCAGTTCAGAGATATCACGAGTGGATCTCATATATAACTTTTCAGGCAATATATCCGAAATCTTAAAACTCAGTTCTTAATTCTGAATTACAAAGAAAACTCTAATAACCACCAACAGGTTTTAGAGAAACATGTTTTAACATCTCCCTCTCCACATGTGAATCAGTGGTAAGACTATTATCCAAATGGCTTAGACCTCTGATTTATATACCCAAATAAGTCCTGTTAAGTAACAGTCACTACTATACTGAGCACAGTGATTAAGCTGGATGAGTTCAGATTTTTGTTGCTGGTGAAGCAACAGAAATTGAACAGCCTAACAGAAAACAGTGGGGAAGTCCACGGTAGCACACAGCCCAGGAAACTGCAAGAAGAGCTCACAGAGTTGAAGGTGGGGCTGCAGAAAACAAGAGGCTCTAGGGCTCTTGGATCCTCCAGGGACATTCCTCCTCCTGCCTCTCTGCTCTTGGCCTCTGCTCATTTGCCGTGCTTCTCCTTTAGTCAGGATCTTCCCACATACAGAGCACCTCCACTTCAGCATCTCTCGGCAAAGCGAGAACATCTTTTCTTCTCGTACAACAGCCCCAGAAAGGCCTCCGATTGGTCCTGCATAGGTCACATGCCCACTCCTTGAGTCAAATACTGCGAAAAGGAGGACACTGTATTGTGATTGGCAAGGCCTGCATTGTGGACATGCCCTTTGGACCAGTGACATGCAGCCTGGTTCTAGAAAGGTCACAGGGAAACTTGTAAGACAATAAGAGATTGTTACCAAGGCCTGTTACACTGAGCTACCCAAAATGTAATTCTGATGACACTGTAGGAAGCACTGAAGGGTGCTGTGCTCTAGATGACCTTCTGGCTGATGAGTCTATGAATGAGCCTCATACTACTAGAAGAAAACCAGATAAAGCTGTTACATTATTGGACAGTGTCAAGGGCTCAGCTGTGACCTCCCAAATTGACAAATTGAAGTCCCAGCCCCCAGTGCCACAGAATGTGACTGATTTGTAGACTGATGGCTGCAAGAAGGTAATTAAGGTAAAACAAGGCCATTAGAGTGACATGGTCTGAATGGTGTCCTTAGAAAACAGTAAGAGACATTCACATAGAGGAAGGACCCCATAAGGATTTAGAAGCTGGCCATCAGTAAGCCAAGGAGAGAGGCCTCAGGAGAAATACAACCTGCTGGCACCACCTTGGCCTTGACTTCCAGCCTCCAGAACTGTGAGGAAATGAATGTTACTGTTGAAGTTGTTGAATCTGAGGCACTTTGTTACGGTGGCCCTAGGAAAGTACCCAGACAGTAAACCAAGGACTTCAAAGAGGTGGCTGGGTGAGAACTGGAGCACAGCTGAGGCAAATGTGGTATGTGAGGTGGGGGAGTACAAGAGCTTCTTTAAGATTCTGTTCACATAAGAACCCCCACAAGGTTTAGGGCCCGGAAACCTATTGACTGATGTGTGCTGACAAAGATGTGATCAAACAGGTAAGAGGTTAAGAGAGGTGAAGACAGAAAAGTTGACGGCAGATGCCGCCCTGTGTGAAATTCTGTTGGGACAAAGCCTTGGGAGATTCTGTCAAGTTGGCCAGGTCACAAACACAGACTGGGGCTATGGGAAGCCTGCCACATCCATGGCTACAGACTTGGCTGGGATCCTCATGTGGGTCTCCACTGATAATTTTGGAGCTCTCAACATCCTGCCCTGATGTTGGGCTTTGCCAGCCAAATGGCAGAACGTCTGCCTTATCTGATGCAAGACTCACCAGCATGAGCTCATGGCCACCACCACCCTGAGATGATACACACCAGTCAGAGCCTCCTGTCCACGCCCTCAGGCCTGCCTTGCTCATGTGCCATGTCCAGTGTTCCAAACTGGGTGAACTTGTACCTTCCGGTTATAGTGTTCTGGTCCCTGCAGTCCTCCACCTGGGAACCCACTGCTATGTCAAGCCAAACACCATCATGGTAATGCCGCCCTAGCCTTCTTCCTAGACCGGACCTCTGGTCATCAGCCACGCTATGGATTTGCTTGCATCCCAGAGCTTGACCCTGCCCAAGCTGTCACTCTGCTGCGCTTGCCTTTGCCCTGACCTGTGCCCTCTAGCAAACAGCCCTGGCGCCTGACAGCTCTCAGAAAAAGCACTCAGCACCACCCCCCAACCTGTGCTAATGGGGTCACATTAAGATTCCACCACAAACACAATACACATTTGGAAAAAAACACGTCTGCTTCTCAAGAAACAATCAGCATGGCATACTCACAACATAAAAACCTGGTACCCAAGGAAAAGAGTTGTTAGGTAGGCTGCCGAAGGAAGAGGGTCAGTGCACAATCACACCTATTACATAGGACTTCCCAGTTCACAAGGCTCATAATTTCAGATCATCCCATTGGCAAAACGCACTTGTAAGGTGTCAGGATGAAATCTGGAAATTGCTTCGTTATTGACTATGCCAACGATATTTGCTGACATGAGAGTGTTCGCTTGTGTATGCATTCAAATAAAATTTCTGTCCACCTTTGTGTACAGTCCAAATATAGTAGTATTTCTACATAACAAATTTCAAGGAAGACAAATGAAATATTTAAATAACCCAAGCACTGTGGACCTACAGAAGACTGTCTTTTACCTTTATATTCTTCTCTTTTAAATCACCCAGACATTAAAAAAAAAAAAAAAAAACCTGATAACGTCAAAGGATGAGAAAGGCTAAACTTGGGGAAATAAAGGAACCATAAATCAGGAAAACTTTGGAGCTGCTAGAAAGACACTTTAATTTTGTAGACAAAAGACTGCATTAAGGAGGAATAATGCAATAATCAAAGGTGAACGGATCTCCATTGTCTGGCGGCTTTCTCTGTGGGAATTTTCCCACCCCTGACAGCTGTAAGGGGGGAGGGGCGCTGAATGTGGCTGCGCCTTTATTCTCTCACCCCTTTTTCTCCTCAACCCCTCCTCTTCTCCGTCAATAAATGTCTGCAATCATATTCTTGAGCTCCTGTGTGATTTCAAGGTTCATCTCTTCCATGCAGCTCAAACACTAATTATCCCAGCTGTAATTAGTAAGATAATTAAATACTGGCTCACTCATCACTCTACCTTGGGTCGGGTCGTGATTCTCCCAGAAGACCTTGAGCAGTTCCTCAAAGCTGATGCGCTCTGGCTGGTACACAACCCTGATGACTTCTGCATGGCCAGTTTTTCCTTGAAAGAAACAGAATGAACAACTGAAATTTACTGGCAATATCAGTTTATTACAAGCTATTCATTCTCAGAAAACCAACATATGAAAGCGAAATTGTCCCCTCTAAGGGAGGCAGAAGCACGACTGGATTTGAGCTAATGCTCTTATCCTCAGGCTCTGTGGTGGGTTCTTTTTGCAAAAGCACAGTTACCCCCCAGTGAGCTTCCTGGGATGATTTCTTCATTGTCCATTTGTATATTTTTAAGTATGGGAGTCAAACTTGGACTTTCATTTTTCTAACCTTACTCTTATGAAATCTTAGACCCAAGCTGACAGAGTGCTCAAGAATGGCAACTCTGCAATCATATTCAAGCCTGGTTATTTTTCCCGGCACTCCACACTCTATGGAGGAAGCGCAGCTACACCACGGAGTGAGGTGGGGCCCAGTTGAGAAGCCTGTAAAGGCAGCCTGGACTCGTTCACATTAGATAAATTAGTTAGTGGAGAGACACACTTGCTGCGCTGTTAACACTGAGGCAAGGGTTAGATTCAAATACCCAGCGGGGTGGTGAGTGTTTTCTCAGCCTAATTCCTCTCTGTGGTAAATAACAACTGCAGCAAATGTCTCTGCAGAACCCACATAAACAGGCTTATTCTTGGAGGGTGTCCGGAAGATTCCACAGTTCAAGGAAGTGGGAATTTGCAGTATCACTTGCAACTCTGAAATTCACGCCCTTGTCTATTATAGTCTTGGAACTTAGGAAATAATAGATCCCTCTATCCTAACATCATCTCTACATTTAAATTTGCTTTTTATTTGTTTCTATTACCTTATGTGTAGTGAAAAATTTGCCTCGCCCAAAGAGAGGCCCCTGAGAGATTATATCCAATAGAAATAGGGCTTTGCCCTTGGCTACTGGGAAATTACGTCTGGTAGAAATGGGGCTGACCACACTGGATTTTACGACAGGGCCAATTATCCCCGACAATCCTCATGTGTGAGCCGGCCATCCTGAAAGGTCTGTGTGAACTAGGGTGGGGTTTTAGATGATGCGCTGTTAGTCCACCTGGAGGCTGGAACCACAATAGAAAACACTGGACACCAGAGTTTAGGCAAGGTTCTCTGGTGGGCGTTCCTCCCTGGAATGGTCACACGTGGATGCCAGGAGGGTCACGTGTCCTGGCTCCACAGAGCAGAGAAGTACTTGGAACCTCTCTCTGCCTCTCTATCAGATTGTGAGCTGTATTATTTCCCTGTAATAAATTATAGCCATGAGTGTTCTCGCTTTCGGTGAGTTCTGGTGGTTCTTCCAGCAAATGCTGAAGGAGGAACACAGTCTGGGCATATTTTGCTCTTTAGTTTGCAAAAGGTGTTTTTCCCATGTTGTTGTTTTTTCTATTTTTTCCCTCAAAGCTATCTGATGCTATGCACATAGAAGGTAGAAATCCCCTTTTTACAAACCAGAAAGTAAAGATGCAAATGTTAGATTTACCTAAGGTCACATAGCTAATTAATTTCTGGGCCATAATTTGACTTCTTGTGCAGGATCCTACTCTATATATCAGAGAAAGTGTGGTGGTTAGGATGGAGTATGGCTTGCCTGGCTTTGTGACCTGCCTGGGAGATAGTGGAGCACCCTTCTATGTGTGTCTGGGTGGGTCACGAAGGTATGAGCTTGGGGTCTAAGCCTTGTCCCTGGCTCCTTCCTCTCCGGCACTGTTCCCTCGCTCTGCTTCATTGTCACTGAGCAGCTTTGGTTTCTCCACCTCTTTCCTCCACAATGTTTTTGCCTCGGAGCCAGGCACTCAGACTGCAACTCTAAGCCAATTCAAGCTTTCCTCCTTTAACCTGTAGGTGTCAGGTACCGTGTTCCAGCAAAAGGAAAGCTGACTGATGCAGGGAGCAAGGCAAATAGCAGGGGCATGAGTCCAGAAAAGAAAAGAAATTTGTTCATTATCTTTAATCTTTTTAATATACAAATTTCTTTCAGATTATAGAAACAATATTTATGAGTAATATAAAGCTTAAAAACATAAGGGAAGCATAAAAAGAGAAAATAAAAATCACCCACATTCCTGACACATAAGACTATAAATATTTTTATGCATCTCTTTCTGGATGACTATTAGATACATATGCTCACACACACACACACATACAATTTGTTCACTAGTAATACAACAAGCTTTCCTTACAAGTATTTTGTGAGTACTTCCCCATGTCATGGAAATTTTTAGAAAGCACCATTTATAATGACTACATAACACTCCATCAAATGGTTGTCCGATTACTTATTCAATCATTCCCTGTCATTGGACATTTAGACTGAATCCTATTTTTAGGCTTGAATGTAAATATTTTTCTACACTTCTGAGGCCGCCTCAAGCCATTGTTGTATAAGTAGAATTTCTAAATCAACGTTTATAAACATTTTTAAATTTCCTGATGCCTGGTGCCAGACTGCTTGTCAGTAAATTGACTGCATCTCTTCCCCAACTGGCAGCATGTGGGGGGCCAGCCCAACCCACTCACGTAGTCTTTAATCTTCAGCAATTTATAGTTCCAAGATGGCATTCTATTGTCTCATTTAAGATGAATGTAACTGTTAGTGAAGTAAAATAAATAAATTTCAAGTTCATTAATAAACTTTCTTCTTTCCTCTAATTTTTGTTATGTCCCTTTTATATTGCGTTATGAATTAGTTATGACATGAATTTTTATTAATTGGTCAGTCTATATGATTTCAATTCAAGCACGATAGCCATTTAAGTTAGTATTTAAGCAGATTGTATACTAACAGATATGAAAAGCACGGTAGCTCAAGAAGAAAGTACAGCAGAGACAATAATCATGTCATATAAAGCCATTTTGATCTGCCTTAAAAATCTTATTTGTTCATTTGAAATGTTTAAATGAGTGATTCAACTACACATAGGCATTAAGACTTCTTGAATATTAAAAAGGGTCACAATATGCTATAAATATGATACATATATTTAGTATGAAAAGCACTAAAATCACACTCAAAATATAAGCAAAAGATGTAAGCAGACTATACACCCAAGTGGAAAAAAAAATGTAAATCAACAAGATATGCAAAATACTCAACAATAAAACCAAAGAAATTCATCTTAAAATATTAACATATCATCTCTTATTTACTACATTTTATAAAACTGCTTAGAAGGACATGTGATTCTTGAGAACACAATGAAACTGGTGCCCTTAGTTGGTCTGTGACAGGGAAAATTAGTATGTCATCTTTGAGAGCCCATGGCACATGTGGTCAGAGCCTGTAAGATGCCCATTCACCTGGATGAAGTGATTCAGAATATCTGTCCCAAAGCTGTAACCCCCAAAGATACATAAATGCACAAAAAAATCCATGATGTCATTATTATAGAGGGTACTCTAAGAAATCCAAAAGTCTAACAGAGAAAAAAAGGTGAGACAGATGATGAAATATCATGTAACTATTAAAATATTATATTCTCACCATAGCAAAAGTGGTTGCTATTGACTGAACCCCAATGAGATGGCAGGCTTGTCATCTACTTGATGCTATTTAATGTTCACAGCAATTTTCCCAATTTTTTCCTATTATGATAAAAATCACACATAATATGAAATTTATCACATAAAATCTTAACAATTTTAAGGGTACAGTTCAGTATTAGTTTGTGTGCAATTGTCGATACCCATTTCCAGAATTCTTCACCTTGTAAAACTGAATGTCTACACCCATTAATCACTAGCTCCCCATCTCTTTTACTCCTGGCCTCTGTCTGGCAACCCTCATTCTACTTTCTGTCCTCATGAATGTCTGTACTCTGGGCCTTATATGAGTGGAACAATACAGTATTTGTGTTTTTGTGACTGGATCATTTAACTTGGCACAATGTCCTAATGGTTCGTCTATGTTGGAGTGTACATCAGAATTTTCTTCCTTTCTAAGGCCAAATGTGTGTGTGTGCGTGTGTCTGTGTGTGTGTATAAGTGCGTGTACTGCATTTTGTTTGCTCATTCATCCATCTGTAGACGCTCCACCTTTTATCTACTATGAATAACACTGCTATGAACACAGGAGTACAAATATTGCTCACAATAATTTTTACAAGAAAGATATGGTCCCATTTTACAGCTGAAGCAATCAAAGCCTCCCCTACAAGATTTCTCATACAGCATTGCGCAGATAGCAAGCAGCAGGATCCACTCACAAAACCACTAGGTTTCAACCGGAGGTAAAGCTTGGACCCAATCTACATGTTAAGGCTCTGGAACGACAAAGACTAGAGTCACCAAGAGAGAACAAATATCACAGGGGCAGTGGCCCAGAGGAGAAATCACAACTGGGTGGTAATTGATATCCAAGCTGTCAAAAATATTTTAAAGGAGTAGACTCTTCTTTAGTTACAGCAATATGGAGTCAGGAAAGATTTCCACTCCCCAGCAAACACTTCCAGAAACTATTTCCACAGACATTATTAAAGGCTCCTGGGTGTCTAAGAGAAACTACTATCATTCAAATTCAACATCTATTTGCATTGACAAACAGTGCAGAGATGCCTTTGCCAAACTCACCTTTAAGTTTCTTTACTTTATTTCTCCAAAGTAAAAGAACCTGTGTAAAAATACACAGTGCAAATGATCAAAAGGATTAAGGGACTCAGAACCACTTATGGAAATGCCCACGTTTCACAGGAGCTAGGCAACGTGACAGGCTAATTTCATTCCAGAGGCCAATCTGCAAATACTGTCTTGTGCTTCCAGAGATAAAAGGCCATATCTTAAAAATATTTCGAGCTGTGTCTTCACATTCCGTCGTGCAAATAGCATGATAGATGCGATGCGCAAACATGCTCGTTAACGATTCACAGCAGCTTTATAGGTGCGTTGGCACTGCTGTACCAAAATATCTTGAAAGGGAAAATGGAAAGGACGAGTGTTCCCTCTGAGCATCTTGCTCTGCTGCCTGATCTTGCAGACTCAGAAAAAGGGGAAGGAACACAGAGGGGCTGA